AAACAAATAAAAATATATATATAAATAAAAAATATAAATAAAATTTAAATAAATAATAATATAAAATAAGGAAATAAAAATAAATAAATAAAATTACCTAATTAAAAATATTAAATAAAATATATAAATAAAATCAAATGAATAAAAGAAATATAAAGAAAAGAAAAGAAGTAACAAAAAAAGAAAAGAAACAGGATGGCTTATAATGTAGCTGTTTTTTGCACAGTGCATAAATCAGAATGTGCTAAGTGCAAAGAAAAAATGCTAAATTGGGTGATTTAGTAATTTATAATGATGTTATCTAATTTAATCTTTTTTTGTTCATATTTTGCAGGTGGTCACCTCTCCTGAAAGACAAAGTGTGGTGAGTCTAAATGTTTCATTCAACACACATGAAAAAGTACTATAGGAATTTATAGTAAATGCTTTAGTGTTTATGAACCTTACTAGTGTATTATACTGTATATATTATATTATATACAACACTTTGTTTATGAATACCACAGCATACTGTAGTAGTAACTATAGTGAACTGCTAAACTGTAATAAACAATGTGATGTACTTCAGTAAACTGTGGTGTATTGTAATATTATATGCTCTACAGTTGTCAAACTAGAGTATTGGGTCATTTGTTTATTTTGCTATAGTCGTGGTGTTTCCATAGCAACAGATTATTTTAAGTACTTTACTATAGCATGTTCACAATAGCATTTACTATAAATTACTGTAGTAATTTTTTTAATGTGGGACTTTATGCTGTGTGAATTGGAGAACACTTGACTGGATTTGACTGAACTGACAAAAAACTGCTAATGAATATTAAATAAGGGGCTGCACGGTGGCTCAGTGGTTATCACAGTCACCTCACAGCAATAAAGTTGCTGGTTTGAGTCTCGGCTGGGTCAGTTGGCATTTCTGTGTGGAGTTTGCATGTTTTCCCCGTGTTGGTGTGGGTTTCCTCCGGGCACTCCGGTTTTCGTCACAGTCCCAACATGCGCTATAGGTGAAATGGATATAAACCACACTGGCCGTAGTCTACACTCTGGGTTGCGACTGGAAGGGCATCTGCTGCGTAAAACATACGCTGTAATAGTTGGCGGTTCATTCCTCAGTGATGACCTGATAAATCAGAGACTAATCCAAAGGCAAATGAATGAATGAATGAGACTAATTAAAGGTCTGCTGTGGCAACTCCAGATAAATAAGGGACTAAGTCGAAGAAAAGGGAATGAATAGAAAAAAAAGGTTATTATTAAAAAAATTTTCAGTGGCTAACAATGTTGCTATGCTAATGCTAACGTTGTTGTTGTTGCAGTTAAATGATGACCAAATGTGTTATGTGCTAATAAAAAAAAACAAAAAATAATAAAGCAATTAGCTTTTTCTTAAAGCTAAATGTTTATATATATATATATATATATATATATATATATATATATATATACAAGATTTGATAACAACCAAAGAAATCCATATATAGAAAGAAAACAAAACTAATTGGTTTAAAAATTAAGTTATGCATAATAAAATAAAATTAAGCAAGGAAAAAGTATTGAACACATAAAGAAAGGGAGGTGAAGCAACAAGCTAAAGCTAACTAGATAAGTAGTTTTAATCGCTAATACAGCAGATTCATGGGCAATTACATCCTTAATCAACATTTTTTGCCGCAACTAATTTATGAAAGAGTCTGTATTAACTACATTGAGGAGAATCGCTTTAAGGGGGGTTAAAAACCCCCTCCTTACTTAAAATCAACAGTAACTCAGCTGCAGCCTCACAGCCGACGTGTGTGAGTAGGTGAGATGAGTGAAAGCTGTTGAACTCAACTGTTTCTAAATGCATTTTAAATAATAAATGCGGGTTTCTTTCTACTAAGACAATTATTTTAGCTATATATACATATATTTTTCACAATTGAGAGTTTTTATTTTTAATAATTAAATTTAGTTTCATGTCCCCCCGTCCCCCCCCCCGGGATTTACGCCCATGATTAGA